TGGAAATAACCAGAACGAGGGTTCGAGTCATCCCATTGCCCCAAAATGACTTTCTCATTGATATATCACACAATTGTGATTTCTTATATATATATATATATATATATATATATATATATATATATATATATATATATATATATATATATATATATATATATATATATATATATATATATATATATATATATATATATATATATATATATATATATATATATATATATATATATATTATTAAATATGACCGAAAAAGTAAGATTAATAATTCTAACACGAATTTTCTCAATCTTTCGTACATTACGCTTCACTGTTGGAGGTAAATCAAAAATCAATTCTCCAAAATTCATTTTTATTTCTAGTCTGACGCGACACGGGCGCGTTTCGTAAAACTTATTACATTTTCAAAGACTTTAGTTCACAAATACACAACTGATTAGAACTTACGTATCTCAGATTTTATATCTACATTTGAGTGAGGTGGGAGGGGTGATGTGGCATTAACACAAGACAGAACAAGAGGGGATATTAATAGGGTATTAAAAGTATCAACACAAGACAGAACACAAACAATGGGTATTGAATAGAAGTGTTTGTAGAAAGCCTATTGGTCCATATTTCTTGATGCTTCTATATTGGAGCGGAGTCTTGAGGTGGGTAGAATATAGTTGTGCAATAATTGGCTGTTGATTGCTGGTGTTGACTTCTTGATGTATAGTGCCTCGCAAACGTCAAGCCGCCTGCTATCGCTGTATCTATCGATGATTTCTGTGTTGTTTACTAGGATTTCTCTGGCGATGGTTTGGTTGTGGGAAGAGATTATATGTTCCTTAATGGAGCCCTGTTGCTTATGCATCGTTAAACGCCTAGAAAGAGATGTTGTTGTCTTGCCTATATACTGGGTTTTTTGGAGCTTACAGTCCCCAAGTGGGCATTTGAAGGCATAGACGACGTTAGTCTCTTTTAAAGCGTTCTGTTTTGTGTCTGGAGAGTTTCTCATGAGTAGGCTGGCCGTTTTTCTGGTTTTATAGTAAATCGTCAGTTGTATCCTCTGATTTTTGCCTACTTGGGGACTGTAAGCTCCAAAAAAAAACAGTATATAGGCATGACAACAACATCTCTTTCTAGGCGTTTAACGATGCATAAGCAACAGGGCTCCATTAAGGAACATATAATCTCTTCCCACAACCAAACCATCGCCAGAGAAATCCTAGTAAACAACACAGAAATCATCGATAGATACAGCGATAGCAGGCGGCTTGACGTTTGCGAGGCACTACACATCAAGAAGTCAACACCAGCAATCAACAGCCAATTATTGCACAACTATATTCTACCCACCTCAAGACTCCGCTCCAATATAGAAGCATCAAGAAATATGGACCAATAGGCTTTCTACAAACACTTCTATTCAATTCCCATTGTTTGTGTTCTGTCTTGTGTTGATACTTTTAATACCCTATTAATATCCCCTCTTGTTCTGTCTTGTGTTAATGCCACATCACCCCTCCCACCTCACTCAAATGTAGATATAAAATCTGAGATACGTAAGTTCTAATCAGTTGTGTATTTGTGAACTAAAGTCTTTGAAAACGTAATAAGTTTTACGAAACGCGCCCGTGTCGCGTCAGACTAGAAATAAAAATGAATTTTGGAGAATTGATTTTTGATTTACCTCCAACAGTGAAGCGTAATGTACGAAAGATTGAGAAAATTCGTGTTAGAATTATTAATCTTACTTTTTCGGTCATATTTAATAATATATGTCTACAGGAAAGACTGCTACCAAAATACTACTATATATATATATATATATATATATATATATATATATATATATATATATATATATATATATATATATATATATATATATATATATAAACTTAACTGCATAAAATACAACTGCATGAATCTATTCCTGCCCACACATGTTAGCATGGTCTACATATACTAAATTACATGAAGTACAACATCAGTGTTACCTGCGCTGCCTGACCTAGGTAACCTACACTACTTAAACTGATGCACACCTTAAGCAGAACCGATATATGTGAATCTGTATGCAGGCGATGCGTCACAATAACGTGGCTGAAGATTTCAAGTCTTAACCACATCTCCTGGTGTGTGGTTTAGCCTTTATATGTGAATCTGATCTTATAATGAATATTGAATCAAAATAATATATGCTCTTTTTTACCATCTTGCATATAGTTTTAGTTACATTACAGTAATAATGCGAAAACCATGTTCCTCCTCCTTTACTGCTGCGTTAAAAAACTCAAAATAATAACATTTAACACTATTAATAACAACTTATTATAACTCTTGCCACTCCTTGAATATGAGGCCGTGTCTTCCTTAAGAGGGTGAGAGCAAATGCTGTTGAGGACCCTTATTAGTAAATAATACAAATTGTCTATCTCCCTTTTAAGTTATATTCAGCATTAGTTTCAAGTTCAAGGAGAATGATCTCCCGTGTAATTTACATGTACCATTATTTTGATTTCACTCGGGAATCAAATCCACTTTTTCGATTTCCGAGTTTCCAGGCGAGTTAAATTTTAGTAGTCGGAAAAGTGAGGTCTCTAACTTATATATCGTGGATGAAAACTAGCTCCGGTCACTGCTGTGAAGCTGGGATGATGGAATGTGAATCAGAAAACTGTTGAGAATCGACGGAGACTTGTAAATCAAACCAGCCTTGTGAATCAGAGTCGTATTCTTTCTCACATTAGTGTTGTGAATGAGGACAGCGTTGGACGTTGCGATTCCTGCAGGTTGCAGCACGACTGCAACAATATATCAGAGAATGCTTGACGTATCAGCTGCTAATGGTCCCCACCAGCGTCGAGTCTTTTCTGACCTACATACATTTTCCTCAGTCAGCTCAATGTTCAATCTATCTGGATAAACTTCATCTGGACGGAGGATAAACAAATCCTATGTAAAAGCTTTTCTACGTCTTGGATCATCAGTTGAGCCGAATGCCAATTTTCTCTTGTCCTGATAACACGACACACCCGCATTTAGGATGCATAGAATGCATCCTAAAAAAAATAACAGGTATAATCTGCCCGTTATTTCATGCAGGTTGTGGTTGGTATCCGGTTTAAAACCTATCAAACGCAGGAGGATTTCTTAGTCGTAGAAGTTTACTGATCACCAAGTAAGTTGATTTAGTCCAGAACTTAGTCCAGGACTGAAATAAACTCTCAGTGTACACAAAGAGGCGGGACATGCTACTCCTCTCAAGTGTATATGTGCTCGAATCAAGGCTTGTTCGCATTTGTGTTCCTCACGTGTGCCCCAAAGAATGAGGTGATTTGATAAAATACCATGCCAAAGATTATCATCAGAGTGCCGGCGAGAGGATGGGGAATTAGCCTCGGCTACCATCCTCTTTTGTCCTGTCGTGATGGTCGAGTGGTTAAGGGATCCTGTACATCAGTTGCAGAGTGCTTCTGGCAGTATGGGTTCGAGTCACTTCTGGGGTGTGAGTTTTTCAGTATATATATATATATATATATATATATATATATATATATATATATATATATATATATATATATATATATATATATATATATATAATCACGTTATTGTGATTTAATTGTGTATTCAAGACTAAATTTTCTTGCTGGTTGGTCAATAAGCTATTCCGGTAGTCTCAATAATCCTCCAGAGGTTCATAGGCCTAAAAACAAAAAAATTAAAAATGAAAACACTAAACAATTGTATTGTTAGTATTTTAGAAACCCGAATGCTCGTTAACTGCTCGAATTGCGAAAGAAATTTGCATTACCGAAGGGGCATTGAAATACGCCTGTCATTTGTTTACCTTTGGAATTTGCGATCTATTGATGTTTAGAGAGGGAGGGGTGCGGACTTCCTGAGTCCGGGTCGCTGGTTCGGGAACGCAGATTGCTGGCTTGTCAACAATGCATGAAGCCGTTAATAATGGTGAAATATTGTTAAGTACGCTACGAGGTATTGTACACACAAACACACACACGAACGCACACACACACACGAACGCACGCACACACACACGCAGAAGCACTTACACGCGCGCCCACACACTCACAGTCACTGAGTAGATTAGATGCAAAGTCGTTGAAACAAAGTCGGATCAAAATTTTAAATGTATATATATATGATAAGAGCGTGAGAAATGATATTGTATTAATCTACGAATGTTTGAAATGCCGGGACTAGGAGCCTAACTCGATCCTGAAAATACATCTACTTGAGTGCTCACACACACACACACACACACACACACACACACACACACACACACACACACACACACACACACACACACACACACACACACACACACAGTCTTTGATTATATGATCGAACTTAAATCTATGACCACAGGACAACAGATCAGGAAAGGAGAGTTGACTATAGGAAACGGAATTACATAACTAAAAGCTAATATCTTGAAGACGTCCAGTGGGAGGAAGAACTCGGAGGAAAAACAGTACAGGAAATGATGGACCGAGGCAAGCGGAGCTGCAAGGAGCCCCAAGAAAGTTTCATACCATTAGTTGAGGAAAAATAAACAGGAGAAAGAATATAATAGTAACCCGTGGTTTAATAGACCGTGTCAAGAAGCAAAAATGGAAAGCAGGAGGGAGAGGAGGAAGTACAGAGGTCAAAATACAGAGGAAAACAGGAATAGATGCAACAGAACTAGGAAGGAATACATAAATATAAAAAAAGTATCGGAAAGAAATAGCGAGAACGATATTGCTATAATGCAAAAATAGCTTAGCATTTTAAAAGCACCGAATCACCTTCTGTGATTGATTGTTCAATAAACCCTTCAACTATATGTTTAACACATCTCTAACCCTGTCCATGGAGGACAGAAGAAAATGTATATATGCTGGTTAGCAATGTAAATGTGTGGCCACGTCTGTGGTAGAAAATAATAAAAAAAATGCAAAAATAAACTAAAATTATTACATAGTCATATAAGAAGGAAAATGGCAGTGAACGATCAAGTGACAAGACTACGAAAGACGGGAGAGGGATGTGCAGAAAGTGATGAGGAAATTTGCGAAGTACTGAACAACAGTCTCCATGGAGTGTTCACAACCGAGCCTGAGCAGCTTACAATGTTAGTATAACCCTATATGAGAAGCTGTCAAATATAGCGGAACAGCAGAGGAGATAAAGAAATAACTAGCACCACTGGACGAAACGAAAAGCTGTTTGACCAGACAACGTATCACCGTAGATACTGAGGCAGCACAGCCCCTCAGCGTACCTCTAGCAGCACAGCCCCTCAGCGTACCTCTAGCAGCACAGCCCCTCAGCGTACCTCTAGCAGCACAGCCCCTCAGCGTACCTCTAGCAGCACAGCCCCTCAGCGTACCTCTAGCAGCACAGCCCCTCAGCGTACCTCTAGCAGCACAGCCCCTCAGCGTACCTCTAGCAGCACAGCCCCTCAGCGTACCTCTAGCAGCACAGCCCCTCAGCGTACCTCTAGCAGCACAGCCCCTCAGCGTACCTCTAGCAGCACAGCCCCTCAGCGTACCTCTAGCAGCACAGCCCCTCAGCGTACCTCTAGCAGCACAGCCCCTCAGCGTACCTCTAGCAGCACAGCCCCTCAGCGTACCTCTAGCAGCACAGCCCCTCAGCGTACCTCTAGCAGCACAGCCCCTCAGCGTACCTCTAGCAAAGATTCAGAGTGAGTCACTTACAAAGAGAGAGTTGCCCAGTTGCTAGAAGAAGGCGAATGTGGTACCAATTTTCAAGAAAGAAGATTCAAGATTCAATTTTTTTTAATTCAATTCAATTTCAAGAAAGAAGATTCAATTTTCAAGAGAGAAGAGGCACTTAACTACAGACTAGTATCACTGACAAGCATCGCCTTCAATGTATCTTCTTGAGGTTATTTTGAGATAATTTCGGGGCTTTAATGTCCCCGCGGCCCGGTCCTCGACCAGGCCTCCACCCCCAGGAAGCAGCCCGTGACAGCTGACTAACACCCTGGTACCTATTTTACTGCTAGGTAACAGGGGCATAGGGTGAAAGAAACTCTGCCTATTATTTTCTCGCCGGCGCCCGGGATCGAACCCGGGACCACAGTATCACAAGTCCAGCGTGCTGTCCGCTCGGCCAACCGGCTCCCTCTGTACTCGAAAGAATATTCAGGTTAAGACTAGTTACATACTTAGAGAGAATTAGGTATGTAAACACACACACACACACATACGTGGGGCCTCGTAGCCTGGTGGATAGCGCGCAGGATTCGTAATTCTGTGGCGCGGGTTCGATTCCCGCACGAGGCAGAAACAAATGGGCAAAGTTTCTCTCACCCTGAATGCCCCTGTTACCTAGCAGTAAATATGTACCTGGGAATTAGTCAGCTGTCACGGGCTGCTTCCTGGTGTGTGTGTGTGTGTGTGGTGTGGAAAAATAAATAAATAAATAAATAGTAGTTAGTAAACAGTTGATTGACAGTTGAGAGGTGGGCCGAAAGAGCAGAGCTCAACCCCCGTAAAAACACAACTAGTAAACACACACACCAATCTGGGTTTAAGGAAGGATTAGTTAGGCTCGTTATGCCTAACGAGCCACCTGGGGTTCTGTGATAAAGTGCCTAGAATAAAGCAGGACAGGGAAGGAGAATAAAGCAGGACAGGGAAGGAGAATAAAGCAGGACAGGGAAGGAGAATAAAGCAGGACAGGGAAGGATGGGCAGACTGCATATTTCTGGACTACCAAAAAGCCTTTGAAACAGTACGTTAGAAGCGACTGCAATTCAAATTTGAGATGAACACAGGAGTAAGCGGAAAAGATCCAACAAGGGTAAGAAATTACCTAACAGGCAGGAGCCAGAGAGTAACAGTAAAGTGCGAGAAGTCGGATTGGCGAACAGTAACAGCAGAGTACCTCAAGGATCGGTAATGGGACCAGTTCTATTTCTAATATACGTAAACGACTTGTCTGCATGAGTTGAGTCTTATATGTCGATGTTTGCCGAAGATGCGAAATTAATGAGACGAATTGTGACAGATGAGGATTGCAGCATTCTCCAAGACTTGAATACATTGCAGACATATTCAGATAGATGGCTACTATCTAGATGGCTACTAATGATAGAAATGAAAACAGTTGTCAGAAGACCAAAGGGACAGTTCACAATAAAGGGAAAACTACCTACCTGTAACGACTCGAGAAAGAGACCCGTGAGTGGACGTAATACCAAACCTAACTCCAGAAGCATATATTAATAGGATAACGCCAGCAGCGTACACTACGCTAGCAAAAAGTTAGAACATCATTCAGAAACCTAAATAAGGAGACATTTGGATAGCTTTACTCCGCCTACGTGCGACCAATCTTAGAGTATGCCGCCCCATCGTGGAGCCCTCGCCTAAGTTAACACAGAAAAACTAGACAAGTTTCAGAAGTTTGCGACGAGGCTCGTCCCAAAATTGCGAGGGGTAGGATATGGAGAGAGACTGAAAGAACTGAACGTGACGACGTTAGAAAAGAGAGAGAGAGTGAGGAGACATGATTGAAACGTATAAAATCGTTAGGGGGATTGACGGAGTAGAAATAGAGGCCATTTTCCACAATAAATACCAATATAACAAGGGTGGACCCTCGAGTCTCTGAGGAGTCATAGAGATGTTAGAATGTTTTCATTTAGAGTAAGTTACCTGGCGGGAAAATGGAATGAAATGAGCAGGATGTGGAAACAAACCTCATTAATAGTTTTAAAAAGTAGATATGATAGGGAAATATGTCAGGAGTTTATTACTTTAGATAACCAGCGGATAGAGAGGCGGGGCCCAAGAGCTAATGATCGATAATGCAGATCAGGCAGCAACACCGCATCAACACACACCAGAAGGCCGGCAACACCACAGCAACACACACCAGAAGGCCGGCAACACACACCAGAAGGCCGGCAACACCACAGCAACACACACCAGAAGGCCGGCAACACACACCAGAAGGCCGGCAACACCGCATCAACACACACCAGAAGGCCAGCAACACCGCAGCAACACACACCAGAAGGCCAGCAACACACACCAGAAGGCCGGCAACACCGCATCAACACACACCAGAAGGCCGGCAACACCACAGCAACACACACCAGAAGGCCGGCAACACCGCAGCAACACACACCAGAAGGCCGGCAACACCGCAGCAACACACACCAGAAGGCCGGCAACACCGCAGCAACACACACCAGAAGGCCAGCAACACCGCATCAACACACACCAGAAGGCCGGCAACACCGCAGCAACACACACCAGAAGGCCGGCAACACCGCATCAACACACACCAGAAGGCCGGCAACACCACAGCAACACACACCAGAAGGCCAGCAACACCGCATCAACACACACCAGAAGGCCAGCAACACCGCAGCAACACACACCAGAAGGCCGGCAACACCACAGCAACACACACCAGAAGGCCAGCAACACCGCATCAACACACACCAGAAGGCCGGCAACACCGCAGCAACACACACCAGAAGGCCGGCAACACCGCATCAACACACACCAGAAGGCCGGCAACACCACAGCAACACACACCAGAAGGCCGGCAACACCGCATCAACACACACCAGAAGGCCAGCAACACCGCAGCAACACACACCAGAAGGCCAGCAACACACACCAGAAGGCCAGCAACACCGCAGCAACACACACCAGAAGGCCGGCAACACCGCAGCAACACACACCAGAAGGCCGGCAACACCGCAGCAACACACACCAGAAGGCCAGCAACACACACCAGAAGGCCGGCAACACCGCAGCAACACACACCAGAAGGCCGGCAACACCGCAGCAACACACACCAGAAGGCCGGCAACACCGCAGCAACACACACCAGAAGGCCAGCAACACACACCAGAAGGCCGGCAACACCGCAGCAACACACACCAGAAGGCCGGCAACACCGCAGCAACACACACCAGAAGGCCGGCAACACCACAGCAACACACACCAGAAGGCCGGCAACACCGCATCAACACACACCAGAAGGCCGGCAACACCACAGCAACACACACCAGAAGGCCGGCAACACCGCATCAACACACACCAGAAGGCCGGCAACACCGCAGCAACACACACCAGAAGGCCGGCAACACCGCAGCAACACACACCAGAAGGCCGGCAACACCGCAGCAACACACACCAGAAGGCCAGCAACACCGCAGCAACTTACACCAGAAGGCCAGCAACACACACCAGAAGGCCAGCAACACATACCAGAAGGCCAGCAACACACACCAGAAGGCCGGCAACACCGCAGCAACACACACCAGAAGGCCAGCAACACCGCAGCAACACACACCAGAAGGCCAGCAACACACACCAGAAGGCCAGCAACACCGCAGCAACACACACCAGAAGGCCAGCAACACACACCAGAAGGCCAGCAACACCGCAGCAACACACACAAGAAGCCCGGCAACACCACCACAACAGCCCAACCTGCTCATTACCCTGCTCCATCCTCTCCATTACGCACCTGTTTATGCGTAATGCTAACGCGTAATTACATGGCCAGCGAACACAGGGGGAGACTTGCAAAAATGTTTTAATGCGTAATGTTGCGTTATTGCTTACAACCAACATCCGGCAGCAGATGTTCATTACAGCTGTTAACATGAACTCGCGCTTGTGATAAAAATATGCATACGCTCAGAGACGCTTCATTTAATAAAAAAATAATTATTGATTAGTGGGTAAAACTCTTTTTACGATTTTCATCACAATACTCAGTTTTGAGTATTGTGGACGTGTGTGTTTTAAATAACTTATTTTTTAAATATCGCCATTTCGGTCATTTAATACATGCTTGTATGGCAAAACTTAGAGTTATAACGAGATCAATAATGACGGAATATTTTAAGAATTAGAATTTGATTATAGGATAATCCTATAACCACAGGTGATGACGACGTTTCGGTCAGTCCTGGACCATTCTCAATCGACTTGAGAATGGTCCAGGACGGACCGAAACGTCGTCGTCCCTTCACCTTCTAGTGTGTGGTCTGGTCAACATACTTTAGCCACGTTATTGTGACTCATCGCCTGCACAGGTAATGACATTTGTTTAGTTTCCAATATATAAAATTGGCACCATAGATGACACTGTATAGTGTAGATTAGTCCTTTTCCCTTCGCCTGTGGAAATGTTACTGTGTTACTGGGGAATGTTACTGTGTGGAACATTTAGTAACCAAGGGAAGAGTTGTACAATCTACACTATGGAGATTGCAATAACTTAAGGAAGAGGGTAAACTACTTAGAAACTGTGGTCGAAATTTTAAAACCCCAAATATTATATATTTTGTCATGAGAGTAATCCATACTAGGAGTGAAGTGTTCCGGGTGTACACGCAAGTGTTGAAAGACAGGGAGAAAAACAAGACAGAAAGACAGGGTGAACAAAAAAACGAGTCCACACGTCAAAAGACAGGACACGAGAAGAGAGCTGACAGCATATATTCGAATAAGTACATGTACGACCTGTCTAATTCACACAACCTCTGAGAGATGGATCTCTTCGAGAAAGAACACGAAGGTGTCAATTGCATCTTGATCTGTCAAATGAGAGATCAAGATGTAATTACATCCAACATGTGTTCTCAGGCAAACAGGGTATATATAAAGAGCAAGGACTAGGCCGATACGACCATATTGGATATGGAAGG